AAATTCAGGAATATTGATTCAAAACATCTCCACCTCTTGCACACTCACTTTTTGGGGGGAGGGGAGAGCAGAAATTTGCATTTGGACGTATATGCAGAACACATTCCAGCCAGCCAACCAGCCCTCCACCACCATGACAAGACTTCTTTTCAATCGAATGAGTGGATCTCTATTCAAGTCTATTAGGATTGAAGCCTAAGCCATTAAAATTAATTAAGTAGTTCAGTAAATAAAATATTGTTTAAATCAATTGGTTGTTTGCATAGATTTTCTCTTCTCCAAATGCGAAAGGATTATTATTTCACACATTATTTAAGACAAAGGATGTTTATGACAGAAATTTCATAAAAAATGCTCTCTGTCCTATTCTACTAACATCACATTATGTTTAGAGAAAAGAAAAAGATTTCTACAATGCTGTTAAAAAGAAAAAGGGGACAAAGGTCTTTATTAAATGAAAGCTTTTTATTCCTGTTCTTGAGCAGCTCCCAGATGTTTCAATGGGGCTGATGCCAAAGAACGTTCCAGTAGATTGTCTCCAATGTGATCAGACCAAAGTCAATGAGATGTATATGCACAGAGAATGAAAAGGATGCTAAACTTTAGCACTGGGACACAGTTCTTTTTATTTCATTTGTGTAGCATTTCTCAAAGTAAAAGAAATCGACACAAAGTTCAGTTGCATTACATTCAGCATAAATGAAAAAAAAATTACAACATGCCAAGATAGCCAGGGTTGTAATGCAGTGAACACTTACATGGGAGAAAATTCCAGTGATTTCAGCTTTTAAGTTAACATACAAGAGCTGTACAATGAAGGTGTAAATTAAATACAAGTGAGGTCAGATTAACATTTGTATTAATTATTTGGGTGAGAAGATTATGGGAATGGATATCAAACTTGCAGATGTCACAAAATTGGTGGGTTAGCTAATACTCTAGAAGACAGAAATAAAATTCAAAACAATCGTGATAGGTTTGAGAATTGGATTGTGAATAAGAGAAAGAAAGTTGACAGAGACGACTGCAAAGTTCTTTTCTTAGGAGACAGAAATCAAATACACATGGAGGATGAGGGATACATGGCTTGGCAACAGTACTTGTAAAAAAGGTCTTGGAATTGTAGCTGATTACAAAGTAAATATGTGTCAGCAGTGTTGTAGCTGCAAACAGGGCAAATGCAGTTTTAGACCATATCACAGTAGTACAGCAATCGATGCATTTTATTCTGCTTTGGTCAAATCCTACCTCAAAGACTGTGTCTAGTTCTGGGCCCCACTATCTCTTAAGGATTCAAAACTCTGGAACAGGTTCAGAGATGGACAAAAAGAGGGAAGGAACTTTGAGAAAACTGAAGAGGGAAATGATAGCAATCTTTAAATACCTGAAAGGAAGTCACACAGATAAATGCTAAGACCCATTTTCTATCATCCCAGAGTTCAGGACACAGACTAACTGTAGCGAGTGTAGAGGATAGCCTTGAAGGAGAGAGGGAAGATCTGTTACCAAGGCAGCAATCAAATAAAGAACGCTTGAACCCAGACCAAGATGGTGGTTTACGAAAACATCTCACACAGCCCCCACCCCACCCCAGTTCACATGAAGATAAAAGAAGGAAGGGAAGTACATCAGTTACTATAACTGTTCTAGTAAAAGTAGCTTAGGTCTGCACAGTGTCTGTTCCTTAGACTGGTCTACCTTATACATCAATCTCATTTTCGTAAACCACCTTCTTGGCCTGGGCTCAAGCCTCATTTATCTGATCTTTGCTTTGGTCCGGAGGATGGCTTTGGTAATGGATCTTCCTTCTGTCCTTCAAGGCCATCCTCTACACTCACTACACTAATTGATTTAGGGTACAGAAATGCATATTTGGACTGCAGATTTTTTTAAAAAGCTTTCTAATAATGAGAGCAGTTTGCAGGGAAATCAGCTGCTCAGAGAGCTAGTAGGCTCCTCTTCAAAGGATGTGTTCAGGGAGAGGTTGGACAGCCATCTATCAGAGAGCCTTTAATCTGGATTCCTGTGCTGGTGATGAACTGAATGGCCCTACTTTTCTGTAAGGAAATACTGCTTCATTAGCCCTGTGTCTAGAAAGCATCAGAAATGCTTTCTGCAGAGATTCATTGGAACATTATCTCTTCCTCAATCACTATAGGCTTACTTTGAAATGGAAGACAAACATTAGTGTCTCAGTTGTGTGAACACACCATTGTCCTACATGAAAATCCTACATATTTCCTCTATATACCAATGCAAATATTAATTGAAGCATTAAAAGATGACTAACAAACAAATTACCAATACCATGAGAGTCAGCAAACTAGGGGATGAAAGTTTATCATCATGATCATGATCATCATGATCATCATAATCTTTCCTTCCATCTGATCATAGTTATATTGATATTACTATTATTACTATTATTCTATGCATATCCTGGTGCAGTGTTCCTCAACCTGGTGCTCTTCTAATTGTTTAAGCATTCTTTTGCAGTCCCACTAAATCTAGGATATCAGATTAGGGAAGAACGTACTAGTGCGTCTTGTGCCAAGGAAGAAGAAGGCTTAATTGAATTAATCTCTGGAAATTCTCAGTCTGCAAGGAAAACTGAGGCCACTATTATAGGGAAATATTTTGACATATGAGATTTTGTAAGTATTTCCTTCAAACACTACAACTTAACTATTTGCTCAGTTTCCCTGTTCTCCATCCACTTATCAAATATATTGCATTATCATGATTCAAGCCATGGAATTGTACAGTGGATTTAGTGTGGCAGCTTGATTGATGATCACATTGTTCATAAGACAGCTTCACTACAAGCAGTTGTAAGAAGATAATGCATTACAAAGAGTAGGATTCTGCTGCAAAGTCTAATTGGAACCACAGTACAAATTTCCCTTACAAGTGTTCCGAATGTCAGGCTTCACCCCATTTGGGAAAGCTCCCAAGAAATTGAAGAACAATAGGTAAGTAGGATTTATGGAAGATAGCAGGAAGCCATAACCCAAGCATTTCTTCAACTACAGTGATTCAAGAATGTATCCTCCATAATGAAATAAGGTTCACACCTCTTATGATTTGTTTTCCTTTCTGCTCTATGTGATGGATGACTTGGTACCATCTTCTGGGCTCCCCTCTGTCCTCTGCAGCCATCCAACTTGCTATCATAACCTTTTTCCCTCCATTGTTTTAAAAACAGTATTCTGTGAGCAGCCAATTTTTCATGTTAGCAAACAGTTTTGATATCCATGAGTACTATTTATAACTTATAACTATTGATAATGCCTAGAGCAAATCAATATAGCCAAGAATATGTAATAGATTCTGATAGACTTGACCTTTAAAATAAAATTATGGGAATTAAAAAGTGGGTATTAACTGAACATTGCATTTAAAAAAGCAAACTTCGGGTTAAGGTGCATGGGAACAAAAAACAGGTCCTGAAGTTGTGGAATCTCTTCTAAAAGTCCTGATTTAATAGGGATCAACAATCTAAACAATTCTGGTACTATATAAGTTTCTTGCCAAGAGTATTTAAAAAATAAATACTAGTTAAATACCTGTTGTAATTTTGTTATACACAACCCAATTATTGAAAGACAAGCAGTTCCAGGATAGAGCACATATCCAAGTCTGGTTTCTTTTACAAGGGGATCCTTGCAGATGTCATGCCATTTTGTAATATTTATATTTGTTTGCAAACACAGCAACTGAACATAGTGGGAGGAGCCCACAGCCAGATGTTAAAACAGGTAGCTAAAATTGATGCTCTTGTATCAGATTTCTAGAGATGGTAGAACATCAAAGACACTTTAGGGCTCAATGAGACTCTTTCCATATGCATGTGTACACACTCATGTCCTACCAACACTGAGGGACTAGCCTAGGTTTTCAGAAGTGGAACAATTAATTCTTGCTTGAACCACTGCTTCAGAGAAACATTGTGAAAAGAGTTTACAATCTTTTTCTCTGCAACCATGGAGGGAAACTCCCACTTCATCCTACCTTCTGGCTCCTTAGAGTTCCTCCCTCACTCCTAAAGCCAAGGCAGCAGAACATATTGGTATGTTCCCACTGTCCTCCCTATTGTCTTGGGTAGTATGGTTGCCACTCCCTTGCTTAGCAACTGGTTGGAGGAAGAGTTATTTTCCCTTTTTCTTCTCATTGCAAGAGGCTCCAAGATGGTTGCAACGTTCTAGCTAGCTACCATTTTTTTGTTCCCCACCATCCCCATGGACTAGCTGGAGGGAACTGAGCAACGTGTAGAGGGCAGCAGTGAGAATACTCACATAGCTGTGGAAAAAATGCTGCAGAAGGTATGAAAGGTGAAGCTGCTGCCCATGTGGAAGAGCCCTGAGAATGGAAAGATAAATCCCTAACTGCTTCTGGAGGTGGTGGAGAAAGATCTATGCAGAACATCTCTCAAAACGATATTGAGATAATTTGAAAATTAATGTACTGAATTTTCATATCAGCATAATATCAGTGTTTGCCTATCAGCTGGGAGGTACCAAGGCAAACCTGTCCAGCAGGTTTGCCCAATGTTAAGTTTTTCTACTGTCCAGTCCCTAAACCTGAAGTATAATTTTGCTTCCCTTCCCATCTCACCATGCTGTCTTTTTCTTGTGGTGCATTTGTAAACCTATATATGTCTGTGTCTGTGTATGCGGGTATATTTAACAATAATGTAGACAAGCACATAGAAATTCCTTTGCCAACTTCACTGTGCCATCTTGTGAATCTCATGTCTTGTGTGTGTGTGTATACTCACATAGCTGTGGAAAAAATGCTGCAGAAGGTTTAACTTTTGATGCATGCACTTTCTCCTTAGACATTATATTATCCAACCAAATTTGCAAACTAAGCAGCAGCAGAAATATTTTCCCCAATCTACGTTGCAGTGAACTTAGCCTGCTGTATTCTGGGAAAGTAAATATTGAATCATGACTTGCAAAAATCAGGGTTGGCATCAATCTCATGAAAGCTCTTTTTACCTGATCTGTTGTTGCTCCCTGGAGCTCTTTTTTCATTCTCTTCATCATCGCTGTCACAGGATACTGGCTGAACATCAAGCTTGTATTCGACTTGATTTATACCACATTCCTGCTTCATAAAGTTTCTCAGAGCCACAAGGCGGTGATGAATGGCTGCATAGAGTGAGTCAGTGTCCTTTGTGCTGGCCTATGTAATAGACAGAATGCATGGATCCATGAGGTATTGTGTTCCAGAGCACCAATGAAAAAGAGAACAAGCCACAGGAAAGTAAAAAAGAAGAAAGAGCCATATAGCAAGAAGAGAGAGCGACTGATTCCTGAGTGGTACCATCATAGCTTCAAAGAAATATGTCATAAAGGTGATACTCAGATTCGTACATATGCCTGTACATCAGCTGTGCCTGGCATTTCCTCCCACTTTTTTTGACACATGAAACAAAATATCATGCGCTATTTGCTCCATTTTACTTTATTTTTTATTTTTAAAATGGATGTGCTGCCCTCAAAACCAGCTTTATTTGGGTAACTTAGAGCAGTGTTTCTCAGGACCCCTTCCCACTTTTAAAAATTATGGAAGACCCCAAAGAGCTTTTGTTTGTATGGGTTGTATTTATTGACATTTACCCTATTAAAAATTAAAATCGACACATTGGCTGCTAGCGTAGTTTCTCATGTTGTTTGATGGGATTTCAGTATTGCATTACTTTTCAACAGAGGCTGGCAAATAATTTTGATTTTGCAGACCCCGGAGAGGGTCTTGGGGGACTCCCAGAGGTTCAAGGAGCACACTTTAAGAAACACTGACTTAGAGCAATCGAATATCCTCAGGTAGTGAACATGTCAACCAACCCTTAGTCCAACAACGTATTTTAAAGACAAGGATCTACTATTTATTTATGTATTTAGTATACTAATTATCACCATTCAGGTTTTCCAAAAAGCAGTTTTATGAAATACAAATTGGGTAACAAGTAGAACGTCTACAATTTTCACTGGGGTTTCACATGAACTTGCCTCCTTGCTCCTGCAGTATCTTGCTGTCCAAAAAGAAGGGTCAGTAGACTCCCTAGAATATCTTGGAATAGGGTGCAAGCGAATGCGGCAGAAATGGAATATTGACAAAATCCAGGGAATATCTTTTGGTTCAAGTGATGGTTAAAAAAAACCCTTGCAAATCACAGTGTAAATCAATTAAAATGGAAAACTTAAACATCTTTTCTAGGATCATACAGTGAAGCATGATGATGATGATCATCATCATCATCACCCATTCAATGAACATCACAGTCTTTACATTAGGTATTTTTCAACAATTCAGGCTTTATCCAAGAGCCTAGGAATCGTGGAATTCTTACTCTCATTCTTACTTGTATTAGGAAAACTTTGACGGAACCATCCTCCAGGTCTGTTGCTGTGATACACACGCTCTTCCGGTTTGATCTTTCTATAACCATCTGAGCCCACAGTTTGGTGTTAAGAATAAGCCTCATGCTTCCTTGATTTCGCATGACTGCAAGCATGAGAAACATTATCAAAAAGGAAGGCAAGGAAATTGAAACATTCCAGTCTTGAAGCAGATTTTCCTAGCAACTCTTGGAATTTCCACATACTGGTATTAATCCAGCAGAGTAACATGTGACTTGCTACTCATTCTGATGATGCTGAAGGGGTTCCCTTTTCCCAAACGAGAGAAAAACGCTTTTCTGTATGAATTGGGATATACCAGCCTCCAAAGTAGTTGCAGAGAACATATCTTCCTTCATTCTCCATAGATGTACATACCTGGATTGATCAGTCATAGTAACATGCATATAGCTGTTGTGAAAGATGCCCAAATATACTATGAGTCATGGGGTCTTGGAATGCAATAGAGCATGGGTGTCCACAGGGTATGGTAAAAAAGTCAAAATGGCAACCATCAAAGCTCTGCCTGCTTTTTTATGCATGTCACAAGCAGAACTTCAGTTGCACTAATATGGCCACCAAATTTACTTTTTTTTAACCCCATTGTGGATACTCGTGCCTTGGAGGTTTGGTGCTATGGTACATAGAAAGCTTTTGGGGGGGGGGGGTTATATATATATTAAAATCAATCATCTTTACAGAGCTTCCCTTCAAACTGCCTCTGAAATTTTCTGCAGAATGATGGAGAAATTTACATAAATTCACGTACCAAAATGCACAGAATATGGGGAATAGCCATTTCTTTTGGTTTTGGTTTTTTCTATGGAGGTAAAAAAGGGATGTTAGTTTAATCATGGATCTAATGGAATCTCAAGGGCAGGAGAGACAGTCATTAGTCAAGCTGAAAGGAGAGCGAATGAACCCTGATTGGTTGATTCTTCTCTAGCATTGACTTGGCCAATGATTCTGTGCAAACCTGACCAACCATTTTAATGTCAGAATAAACCTACAAAGAATGATGACAATCCAGATCCATGTCAAATGGGTTTAACTATGTTGAGAAGGATTGACAGAGGAAAAACTAATAGTCTGGAAGGGCTCCCTAATACTCAACTTATGGCTTCCAAGAGGCTACTGTTCATCCATATCTTGACTTTTTAGTCTTTGTACTCTTGTTCAGAACTATGGTTTTAGTCATATACAAACTGAATAATTAAAACTTATTTGATTAATTGTCAAACATCTTTTTCATGGGGTGAAAGCCCTGCTTAAATGTGATTTTTAAATGTTCAATTTAAACAGATTGGTTGTATTTGCATATTTTTCTAATAATGGGTTATGTGTACATGGAAGACCACCAGAGAATGCCAAGGCTGTAGGCTAGACTGAGAAGTCAAAGCAAATCCTAGAAAAAGGCAGTGATAAGCCAATTCTATCTTGTTGCAAAAAAAAAAAACTGTATAGCTGTGTCCATGTGATTCCTAGGTGTCAAGCAGACTTTATATTTAAATACAGAATTGCAAAATTAATTTTTACCCAGTCTTGACTGCAGCATTCCATGCTGATTGCTGGAGGTATCATTAAGTCTCAAAGACCCACTGCCTCTTTCAGTCCAGGACAACAATGCTTTATTAAACAAAAAAAGCCTGCAGTTGATCTAAGATAGAAGAAATCATCATCATCATCATCATCATCATCATCATCATCATCATCATCATCATCATCATCATCATTTCTATGACACCTACTAGAGCAATTGTTTAATAACAATGATCTACAGGCTTCTATGTTATTTCTATCATTGCTATCAATTAAAAAAAAGGAAATGGTAGCTAAATGATCTGAACTGAATGCTCTGTGTGTTATTTACTTAGACACCTAAACAGAAGGGAAGAACAGAATTTCTTCTCAGAATTTGAAATAAAGTTATCTCCTCTTCTTGGGAGAAGATGGCTGTTAGTGAACTTGCAAAACTCTCTTCAGCTCTTGTTCTTATGGCAATATTAGAAAGATCCTGCTGTATAAAGTGATTTTGCTTTTAAAAAATGGGCCTCTATTCTAAGGGTGTGCTTACTTAGCAAGGTATGAATGATTATTCTAATCCAGTGTGTGAAAAAGCAAATTTCACTATGCAGATCCCTAACTGAAAGACAAATTATACCCAGATTGGAACATGTATGCATATTCCGCTAAGGGTTTCTGCACATATCCAGCTGCAGCCTTGTGTGTATAGGACTGTCTATAACAATCAGTGATTGTGCTTATGTACTGTCAAAGGGATGAGATGGGCAGTTATACTGAGCCCCCTCCCTGCTGTCTCAGACAATTGGTCAACATGACAATTGCTCTTTGACAAGAATTTCTGGTTTGAGCAGTCTTAGCTGCTGCACTTGTACACAACTGGATTAGTTTTATGATTTAGACTAGTGTTTCTCAACCTTAGCAACTTTAAGATATGTGGACTTCAACTCCCAGAATTC